TGTTTGTTGTACAATAAAGTTAATTGTACTACAATTTGGTCATCGTTCGTTTTTGGTCACAATCCAGCGATACGAGCCCGAGTATATTTGGGAAATCCCTCAAGGTTTCGAGGATAATCGTAACAAAACAGAGTTGATCACAAATTGATCCAGATTTCTATCAGCATCACATCATTGTCGAATTTGCGTAACTTTTGTTTATCCAAATAATGTAAAATAATAAATGAAATCTTGATCGGCGATCACTGAAACGCACTGTTTACGCGAAAAAGCAATGTTGCCACTTTTTCTCATTAAACCATGTTCGAATCGTGGAAATTTTGGAAGATCACAGGGTTGCTTTTAGCATTTAGATTCTTAATGCAAAAATGGAGTTGCATTTAGGTGACGAACTTTGTATGGATAAATGTACATTTAGAGTAGCATTTAGAGCTAAATGCGCTAAATGTGCTTTTACGCGTAAGCAAAAACAGGCCATAAGCGCCAGACGCAAAAGGTATGCCACAATAGGTCCTTTCAATATCAAAAAATTGTTACGAATTGTTACTAGTACTTGCAAGGTTTTACTGGAAATGCATTCAATAACCCAAAATATTTGCAAGAGAGAGCAAATCCGAGAGCGTAACAAGCCGAGAGAGCTGAAAGTTCTTGCAAGTAAAAATTTTACTAGCAGGAATTTGCAGGAGTCAAAAAGTAAGGTTATGTTTCAAATTCAAATGTAAACAAACTGTTCAAGAGGATGATTTGATGAAACCTAATTAGTGAAATGAAAATATGAATGAAAATTTTAAGTCTATTGTATATTTTTTATTTTTATGACGATGGCAACTATTCCCAATTAAAAAGAAAATTGCGCGCCAAAACTTAACCGTCATAAACTGTCAAAATGGCTTAAATTGCAAATTTTTACTAGTTTTGCGTTCAATAACTTTTTCTGAAAATTGTCTCTTGTTCTCAATTTTACTCTCTAATTTTCTTTTACGCTCTCGCTGCAAGTACTTACTGGAAAAGTTATTGAATGGACCTAATGAACGCCAAGGAAACAATTTTGTACTGCTTTTTTACTCGTAAAAATTGTGGTGGATTTAATATAGTTAGCTCTAAAAATATCAGCGATGTAACCATCTATATGGCATGCTTTGTGAATTTTCATACAATTCATCTTATCTGTCAAAGCGAATCTGTCACGCAAGGCGAAGCAAGCCTTTTAACTGGTATAAGCTTAATTTCAGTGTCATTCGCAATGTCAAAGCGCGCGGACTTGCTTCGAATTACTCCAAAAAAAGCAACTAGACTTAAATATAAAAATAAGGACCTACAAAGTTGCATACCATTTTTAACCGACTCCAAAAAAGGAGGAGGTTATCAATTCGTCGAAATATTTTTTAAATTTTTTTTTATGTATGTTACCGGATAACATTGAACCTCGTCAACCGATTTCGATAATTCTTTTTTTTTTATCGGAAAGGTGGTACCTCAAGGGTGGTCCCGTACTGGTTTAGATCCGACCATGAAGAATTTAACGGTACTCCTAAATTTTTATATGAGAATTGAAGTCGGTTATGTTTTTAACTTAAAAATTACTTGTTGGAGAAAGAGAAAAAAATGCTTCTACAGAACCATATCAAAAATGTAATTAAAATATTTCATATACATACCTACTTATGTACATATCGTTACCTTAATAGAGAAAGGCCCTATCTCATTTTCTTTGAAAATCCTGTCGGTGGATTACTCACTAAAAACTTAATGCAATTCAAAAACAACTACTACAGCATTTCATTTATTATAGTCCTCAATTGAAAACAGCATTTTAAAGAAATTCGCAATCAAAGAATTGAAAGTTTTGTTAGCTTTCAATCATTTTGCAAATAAACAAAAATTTTTTATAGGGCCTTTATATATTAAGGTAGGTACCATGATAAAAACATTACAAGGTAAAATCATTGAGGCGGTCTGATGTTTGCCAACAATATAATTTTAAAATTCGAACTCAAGCTCACACACACATTCTCACTTTTACACCCCTATTGCGAGTGTCGACTAGTAGTAGATAAACGACTCTAATTCGATTATCGCTTGTACACGGCATTGTGAAAGTCGATTTCTCGTTCAATAAGCGACTGTGGATAGTTTTTTTATCGCTCATATTTCTACAACTCTTTGTTTGTTGAAGGATGAGCGACTATAAACTATTAACACGCACTTATTGAACGAGAAAACGACTTTGAAAATACCACGGATAATCGATAATCGACTAACAGTCGTTTATCTACTACTAGTCGTCACTCGCAATAGGGGTGTTAATCTCAAACAACCACAATTGTGAACAATTTCAATTTTTTATTTAAAATTTTATATGATCTTAAAATGTTTGCAAACGTCATGGCCGACAAGTTCAGAGAATGATTTTACCTTCTAATGTTTTTATCATGGTAGGTACTATTGTTTTTATAATACATACTACGTTTTTTGTCTTTTTCTGAAGCTGAATTGAATTTTTATACATATTTACTAAATTTGTGAGAACTATTTTTAACGGACTTCAAAAAAGGAGGTTATCAATTCGTCGGAATATTTTTGACAAGGCTGTACATATTAGAGATGGGTACGGGACTCAATATTTAAATTTAAATTTTTAAGCCCCGAACCCGACCATCCCGACGTTTTTCAGAATTGTACCGCGAGTCCCGTGGGTCCCGAAAGCTATCACTAAGAAACATTCACATGTCTTTCAAAGAAATTTTAAATGATAAAAAAGTATGAAATATCTGGCATCTTCCGATTATTTTATTTTACTTTGCTCTTCGTTTTCGTCAGATTTTCTGAATTTGCGGAGGTTGCGATTCTATCGCGAGTGTCGTGAAAGGATTTTGGTCCCGTCCCGCCGCAAAATTTGTATACCGCCCAGATACCGCCCATCCCGGCCAATCTGAAATCAGTGCTGTGGGTACCGATATCCCGCGCCCATTTCTAGTACATATGTATATTCGAAACTGCCCAATATAAAATAAAATATATATTTATATTTATCAGTTTAAAAACTTTCGGTGTAGTTGGAAATCCTCTAAACCCATTTTAATCATTATTTTGGTGATTATTATTACCTTTTAAAAAGCGAAATAAAATCCATTGATGTTATTGCCTTTCAAACATTAAATTTGCTTAGCTTGGTGGCGGCCCGCTCCGCGCGCCACACACACCACGTCACGCTACGTCGCGGCCCCCTGGTGTATGAAAACCAATCAATTAATTTACATGATCTCGGTTCCGATATTAAATAATCAATAATTGTTTATACCCGCATTTTGGCACATTGGCTTGAATGTGCCATCTAATAAAGAGTGTCGTCTTTCTCCTTAGCTGCTTTTAAATTATGTCACTAATTGTTGGCGAGGACATGAATACAGTGTAAGAAAATTCCTTTTCTATAATTGTTTCCTTATAGAAAGGTGGTTCCTTTACATTCCGAATTCGTTCAAAATATGATAATCTAAAACACGGAATTCTTTCAGTGTTCCTCCGGGGTTTTTGGACATGGACTGTTTCTTCAATTTTATAATGTTCGCTTTATTTTTGTGGAAGCGAAACATGTTTTGCAAGTTCTGGATCATTTCTACACTCCATCTTCAAATATTTCTGGTATTCCAGCTGCGTTTTGCGTTTGGTTTTTCGCATCGTGTTTTTACTATTATCGTAATTTTAAATGTAAATGCGCCAATTACTTTATTTCCAAATTTTTGTTGACTTTATTTCGCTTTTGAAAAGGTAATAATGCCAATTGACTTTAGTTCGCACCAGGGTGGGAAATAAAGTCAACTGATCTTATTTCCGTTGATCTTGTTACCTACATACATTTATGCATACATACATATATTTTACATAAAAAACTGTTGAGCTTAAGATTATGGGAGTGACTACTTACACGCGCTACGGTGACTTTTACGGTAAAAATAACCGTAGGTCCAATGAATTTAAGCCCTCGATATTTCACATTTTTATATTTGTAAGTTATTGGAAGATTTCTGCTGTGTTTTGGCAACAACATGTCTGCAGTTAAAAAGCATATGAGGCATTTCATGTCTCCGCGGCCACCTCTGTGCGCGACCTCTAAGGATTTGGCTGAAAGTTGAAGAGATTAAAGGTCTAGGGGACATGAATATACGTGCAGCATATTTTGTCGATATAACGTAGGGTTGCCTATTTTCACGGGACTTAAATTTTAAGCAAACGTCATACATACCTTTCTTTAAAGTGCTGTATCTTGGAAACCTTTTAACGCAACTTAGTGAAAAAAACTGTATTTCTTCCATCTTATTATGGGCTTTAATTCTGCATTTTTTACATTAATGTGCAACGTATAAAAAACAAAAATTAATTAAGCAAACATTTTTCTTTTTGATTTTTTTTTGTCTATAATGCGAGCTTTAAGTACCCAAATGGACGTAATGGGCTACTTATGCGTACGGACTCTAGATCGTGTAACGCTCAAGCAACATGATAAATAGACATTGAAATTTTATGAAATTGTATATTTTCGAAAGAGGAAAGGTGTGTAAAAAACAAAAACAATATGAATAAATGATATTAACTTTACTAAAGGTCTGAAATAATGAAAATCCCTGCAAGGAAATGGCAGAATTGAACTTTGTTGCAAGTTCACATGGGAAATCTGCTTACGACGTGATTAGAGGAAATTTTAAGAGACTAGACCAAGTCTTCAACTCCTGATGTTACAGCAAATTAGTCCTCTACCAATGGGGTGCTGTATGTTTCCAATGGGATGCCTGTAAAAAACAACTGCAACTAACTTTTCAGTGGACTTTATTTCGACTATGACTACGTGCCAATTACTTTAATCTTATTTTAAGCTAGTTTAAAAGGTTAAATAACATCAAGTTAGGGAACTTCATATCCTTATTTAACGAATCTTTAAATCAATAGATAATTTTTTTCTTTTTAGTTTTTTATTGTAAAAGCGTGTTATTGGTTTTCTTTTAAACTATAATTTTATTACTCACTACGTTTATTTTTTACACACCTTTCCTTTTTCTTGTTTTAATAAAAGGACAAACCTTGAAGCAATCATTGGAGGTCTAATATTCGTTTGCAATGAGTGTTGTTGATGTTGTTGATGTTTCGGTTTCATTGCAAAAGAATGTTAGACCTCCAATGATAGTTTTTTACACACCTTTCCTCTTGCAAAAATATACAATTTCATAAAATCTCAATGTCTATTTATGATATTGCCGAGCGTTAGACGATCTAGTGTCCATACACATAAGTAGCCCATTACGACCGTTTGGGTACTTAAAGTTGACATTATAGACAATGTTTTTATGTAAAAATAAAAATTTTTAAAAATG